AAGTGCAATCATTTTGAAATTTTTATCATTTACTTATTATGCTTCATTAAGTACTTATACAAAATTTTATTAAAATAAAACCATTTAAACTGGGTGTTCGGATTTATATGTCACTTAGTATATATATTCATTGCGTTCGTACCTGACTGAAAATGTCACGTGGTGGAGGTTACCAGTCGACCTAATTGGAAATATTTTCCTACATTATATAATGTTATTATAAGGCACCTGGAGTAACAGGTGCAACGTGCAGCTTAATCAATGCTCGTTGAATGGTGTGCCAGTGGCAGTCGGGCGTAGCGTCTGAATTTCGAGCGGCGTTGTAGCGTTATAGTCCGTTCGCAAGAGCTGAACGGAGAAACTCATTTCGTTCGCTCCGGGCCAGCGCCTGACCGAAAGCGAACACCGGAAAATTACTTAACCTTTTACTTTCAACCGATTAATATAAACATTACGTTCGTAAATGTGGTTTATTAATATCTTTATTTTCGGTTCGATTCCCTTGTATATCGGCTATAACACGTGGAATCAATCAATTGCCCCTTACTGACCGTTGGAAATGCTTGTTCTGGAAGTGATTGTACACGCGTTAAGGAATACCTCAGTACCGATTGCCGGGTAGCGGTAGTCCACCAACGGGCCACTTTAGGTCTATTTAATATCATTAACACGTAAGAAGAAGCTGGTAGACAAGGACCAGTCGACCGAGGTGGTACCACCCGCTAGCTTTCCCCAGGGTGTCTTATAAATGTCCGCATGTTTCCACACCTAAGCTATGCCGTGTTTATTACCCGTTTTTAGATTCAGTATCTGTCAAGTGCTTGCAAAAAAATCAAAATTCATGTTGCAGATTAATCTGTTACTTAAAAAAGCAATCATTGACATAAATTTATCTCTCAATTCTGCTTATAATATATGCATTAACATCAAGTATGTATGTTATACTTTGATCCAGTCCTAATTTATTTTGCTCAATTCATTTTTATGTTAAAACCTCTGCATTTTTAGTGGTATATATACAAAACTTCGCTCAATGAAGATATTTTATTACTATTATTATTAGTATTATTATTATAAAACATTAAGTTCCAGAAGCTCATTCTTCCTCACAAGTTGACTTTCTTCTGAACATCAGACATATTGTGCTGACGTAACTTTCCGACATAATTCTGGAAGTAGGACATGTTTATGCTGGTTTTGTTCAACTTGTTTTGAACAGTACAGCATCCTTAGGTCCACAACTTTTCCTCAACCAACAGCTTAAGCAAACTTTTCAATCGTTTGAAAGTGAAAAGTAATTTTTTGAAGTCGTTGGCAAAATTTTGAATCAAATACCTTTTACTTTCCCCGCTAACTAGCGACGTAGTGCTGTAATCGCGAAAAATTTCGAAAATGAAATACTATGTTTTTGTATGTTATATGGCATGCACATCGAAATTTTCAAAAAAGTTACTACTCTGCCAAGGAACAAAGCGCATTGTAGATTTCGAAAATCTTCCCAGTGGCGGCCGAGCTACGGGCAGGGCATGTAAAAAAATTGCTCAAAGATCGTTTTACTTACCGCAAAACGGAATTTCTCCTTGCCATTCCCCCGTTGGAGAACATACCAACGTAGTGTTCCCGAATGTTTCATATCCCTCATCGCACCGGTAGGTGGCGGTAGTCCCTGGCGTTATCCCTGAAGAGCTCAAAGTCACCCTCGTGTTGGGTGGAACTGCCGGGTGGTAACATTTTATTTCTGAAACAAAAAAGTATTTGAGTTTTCCAAACGCCTATACCAACCTGTTTGCTTTCCGTTCATCTGTATCGAGGGCTATTAGACCTGTAACGCGCTGACGAGTTCCTAATGAGCACAAAACAGTGATATCTGCCATTGGTCGTTACAGAGACGGAATGGAAACATGCCCATTTAAAGAAACATTAGGTATCAGGATTATACTAAGTGACATATAAATCCGAACACCCAGTTTAAATGGTTTTATTTTAATAAAATTTTGTATAAGTACTTAATGAAGCATAATAAGTAAATGATAAAAATTTCAAAATGATTGCACTGCTTTAAATCCCTTTGACCTTTAATAATGTGTGGATGCACCCTGATGTGCTACGCATTCTCCAACGCGCCTAGGCATGCTTCTGATCAGGTGGTCAATGTCCTCCTGTGGTATCTCATTCCAGGCAACCACCAACTCCTCTCGAAGTGCTTCCAATGAAGACTAATGGTGACCTGGAACCATAAGCTATAGCACCCCAAACCATAACTCCAACAGTGTGATGAACATGTCTTTCAACAAAAAACTGTGGATTCCTCCTTTCACCACGTCGTCTTCTAACCCTGGCACGACCATCGTGCATGCCTAAACAAAATCGAGACTCGTCACTACTGTTCCATTCCTGATCCCAGAGTGACCATTGTCTGCACCACTCAAAGCGATTACGTCGGTGTTCTCGAGTTAAAGGGAGGACCCAGTGTGGCCGGTATGAAAACAAGCCAAAACTTCTCATTCGTCGGTAAACTCTTCGCATGCCAATAGGTCTTCCGTGTTCTGCAGACCATTCATTTGCAATGAACCTGGTAGTGGAGAAACGGTCCCTTAAGGCCAATAATCTTAGGCGGCCTTCACGGTCTGTTGTTCTACGGTGGCGTCCAGTGCCCCTTGCTCTTTGCGTACGGCCTTCTCGAAGCCATGCCTGACAACACCTAACCACAGTGTCTACACTTCTTTGCACTCTAACTGCAATTGCCCGAAAAGAAAGTCCAGCTTCCCGAAGTCCCACTATACGGCCCCTATCAAACTCACTAAGTTGACGAAATCGTACAGGTCTCCGTACTCTAGGCATCGTAACCGATCGTAAAGGATGTCATGAACCAAAATCCGCCAACGTTGATTCTTTACTGCGGCTGAAATATTCATTTTTAGAGCGTTAGTGAATTAAAAAAAAGCTGTATAAAAACCGGAATGTCCTACTGATAAGGCTTAAAATTTTTTCACTTGTTATTTACAGTAAGATAAATACATTCACCAACTTTTATTAAAATAAAACCATTTAAACTGGGTGTTCGGATTTATATGTCACTTAGTATATGTTGCAGCTAATTTGAATATTTCTGGTTCATGTATTTAGCCATTTTAAATTGAGTACTGTGCTGTTGGAAAAATTTTGATTTAAGAATGAGTCATGCATGAATAGCGCTTCGGCAATGACAGTATTGGCAATATTTTAATGTTTATACCTAAACTGAATCCAAATTCAAGATGAGATGTAAATAATAACAGTTAGCGCGTGATCTCTCGGTAACAGTTGGGGACAACGCCTCTTATTGGTCAATTCGCCATTAAATTTCAAGCGGTCGCCTGGCGGAATAATGCGCGGGGCAGGGGCAGGGCAAGCAGAGTTGCATTCAGGCCACCGACCGTCGCGTGTATTACTGCGTGCTCGTGTTTTCGTATTCACCTTGCTTGGTTGTTGCTGTTGTTGTTGTTGTTAAGTGTATTTGAGTAGTTTGTTAAGTTTCTGTTAAATACTGTCATTTTTGTTTTACAACACGTTGGTGGTAGTCCATCATTCGGAGGTAGCCCTGAATGCGGCCCTGTACGCCGTCCTTGCTTTTGGCAATCACGCATCCATTCTATCTTGGGTGTAAATACACTATAGGTATTTTAAGGTCGTATAACCCCATATACGATGTTTTATATGCAAATCTTTTCTTTCATCTCCTGAGCACATTTTTTTCTCCTTTGGCCAAATTACTTCACGTAAATGCCATTTTATTCGATCCACTGCCTGCACAAATCAAATAAATACGTGATCCATAAAATGGCAGTGCACACAGTCAAACTGCCCATTTCCGTATCAGAAATTACAGCTATCATATGCGAATGAATAGCTGTTTGAAGTGTGTTTGAAGTCTGCTATTACCTGCACAAACATCATTATAATAATCGTTCAGTCGTCAGTTCTAGGCTGTCGTGAATTCGAATACAAAAGAAAGTTGTTTTCCAGTAACATGTTACTTATTGAGCACTAGCCTAAACCTGCGTCTTGCGTTATTTTGAAGGAGATTGGTTTCAGAGAAAAAAATGTAAGGGTTACTTTTGTAATAGATACTCTTTTATACAGTCGCCCATTCGATAACTTGTAACAATTTTAATTTGATTTGTAACAGCTGTGACATCAATTTTTCTCCTATCTCGCTAGTTTGCAGATCACATTTAATTTGTAACTTTTTATATTCAAGGGTTTATTTTTATATAACATTAGTTATATTTTTTCTTTTACATAAAACGAAATGTTCATCTGATTTTGCGCATTTCCTGTTATTGGGTGCACATGTACCTGTTGGAAATAAATGTCTATCTATCTATCTATTAACATTTTAATGCAACAATATACAGAGAAATCCATATAACCTACATACAGTAATGGAAAAAAGTATATAGACAAATATGAATGTTTACCTAAATACCTTTAGAAAACGAATGCATACTTCATTGCTCCATAAACAAATGCGTTACTAGTAGAAAATCTAAATTCTTTGTTTTTACATTATCTGCAATGAACACAATACAAGTCTGAATATAAGCACTTTTTTATGAGGGACAAAAATATGTAGACAAATCCTTTTCAACATTAGCTTAGTACAGTTTCGTGTAAGAAGAGGATTAGTTTGTGATCATCAAGTTTTGTGGAATAAGTTGAGAGATTTTAAGACCATGCCGCGTGCTCCAGAAATTTCTTTCGATATGAAAACGAAGATAATTGAGGGGTTTCCGGGAAAAACAACATTAGTCACTTTTTGTTGAAATTGAGTTGGTAACGCTGTTGTGTTCTAGATGTTTCAATGCTGCTTTCTGATGTTTAAGTTTCCCGTCAAAAGCACATATCTCCGTCTAAAATGCGTTTAAAGAATCTTCGGTTCCATAAGAACGACATTAGTCAACATAGGTTTCCCATAAAAACAACACTTGTCAATGACATGTGTTGTTTTTTTGAGAAACGTTATATTATACAAAGTTAGGTTGATTGTTGGTTAAACGTGTCTTGTGTAAAATTAATATTATTTTATTATCACAACTATGGAATATGAAAGACAAAAACCAGCGAACAATTCTGAAATACCAGAAAGAAAGAAGCCAAAAACCAATAAAAGGACATTGGACAAAATAGCCAGGGTTAAAGGTGAACCTTTTTTTAATAATAAGGAAATAGCCAAGCAAGCTAGAGTTACTGGGCCAGATTGCAGGTAAGTTATGACTTTAGGAATATATTTTATAGCTTTGTTTAAATATTACATATTTTATAGATGTGCTCGATCAAAATGGTTTGAGAAGATTACAGAAGACAAAAGAAATACCACTTTAACCAAATTTAATATGCTGGAATCTAAAGATGCACAGGACAGTCATCTTGCTGGTAATATAACATAATATGCTTTAATAGTAGGTACCTTATAATACATTTTTTTAGGATTAATATCATTTGGCCCCCCACGGCAAAGACGTCGTTGTAGAAGACATCAAGATGTGCCACAGGATAATGAAAATCATGAAGTGGAAGATGCTGTGGATGAGCCTTTACTACAAAAACATCAACATCTACAGTATATTCAGATAAGAGATAGACCGGACATAAACAAGACCACGTGATCATCGAACGCTGTAACATTCGGCAGGGACGTATTAAGAGTCACGCAGTACATATTTTAGATAGTAGATGCTGCTTTGCGTAACTTTGTAGTAAATTAGCACAATTCGATGTGTATACGATTGGTGATGGATATAGGATCATGTGGGGGTGGGGTAAGAAAATATAATGATGTAAATATACATAAGGGTTTCAAAATTTTCGCTTCGATTTCCAGCTTCGGATGCCGTCTGATGTTTGGTGAAATACAGTCGAATATAATCTCAAAATGGCGTTTAAATTAGCCTAAATTAAAAATAATCGTATATCTCTTAAAATTGCTTTTAGAATATTGATTAGTATATTTTTTGATTTCCAGGTAAATATGTAACCAAATTAAAACGTTCAAAACGTAAAAAAATGTGCATGGTTGAACACTGTCAGAAAGTAGATTCTTGAATAGGTTTTGCCAAAATGGGTTCAAAAATGTCAATAATTAATTAAAAAATACAGTAGCTTTATAATTACTTATAACTTACCGAATTTGATGAACGACATCTTTTATTGGAAAGATGAGCTTGATGAGCTTTCATCATCGCTACTGCCTGAAGCACCAACGTCAATAATGAATGGCTCGACTTGTTCCTCTAAAATATTGTCCAGTTCCCACATTCTCTTTTCAACTTTGTCTTTCACGTGCTTAATACAGTTTTCCCATTTTTGCGCTGTTATTAATTCTAGTGCTTCTTTGAAAAGTCCTTTGAGGTCACAAAATTTAAAAGTTGTATTGTGCTTAGCTATATAATTTTTAACCTCTGCCCATATGAGCTCAATGGGATTGAGCTCGCAATGGTATGGAGGTAAACGGAGCACAGTTTTATTTTGACTTGCTGCCATTTCGTCAATGGCGTATTTTTGATATTCCGCCTTGTGATCCTTGACAATTCTTAATAATTGTACTTTCAGCATTGCTTCTTCAAAGTTGATATTTTTCGAGCGGAGCCAATTTTGAACATCAACTTTCCTTGAAGCCGTTGTTGGGACCTTCTCCATTCTTCGAGAATGATAAGGCGCATTATCCAACACAATTACTGCGTTTTCCTCTAAGTTCGGTAAAATTTTTGAAAACCACTGTTCAAACGATTCGCCATTCATTTCCTCGTGGTAATCTCCAGTTTTCTTAGACTCAAAGCACCACAGACCGTCAACAACAAATCCATCCTCACTGCCAATATGGCAGATAATGAGCCTTTTCCCTTTACCTGGAAATCGAAGTACTAACTGGTGTAGATTTATTTCAATAAGCGAACCTTTTTCAAATGTTTTCATCACATTCAGCGAAAAAACATTGAGACATGAGTATCAGATTGCTATAATTGGGATTATTTAGTCATATTGAAAGAAAGAATATTGAACGTCGTATGACTACTCAGCGCTTCACAATTTAATTTAAAGTTATAAACCTTTAAAAAATAAATGATCAGGAACCTGAAATACGCGCAAATATTAATATTAACAAATTATAACTTTATAAAGCTTAAAGTATGAATTAAAATGATTAGAAATATTAGGAACGGTACACAATATAAAACTTAGTAACTTTTTTTAAGTTTATAATATTCGACATATTTTAAGATTATATTAAAAAATTATTGAAATATCGAAAACACATAAAAACATGGCTTAAAAAAGTTCTAACAAATGAAAATGACAATAAAACATCCACGCATTTTATCGAAAGTTATAAAAGTTTTGTTACTTGTAATATGTTTTATCTGCCCCCTGGAATTAATGTTTAGAACCTTGTTCCCAAGGTTTGAAAAACATCCGATTGTTGTCTATTACTCGTATTTATCTGCTGGATTTTTTAATCCGGTGGACAGTCCATCTAGAAAGGCCCTCCTGGATGAAGTTACAGAATCATCAACCCATACTTTACTTGTAGTGTGTCCTGCGTTTACCCACGTTTCATCAAGGTAATAAATCTTCCTGTTTTGATTTCTATATTTCCCAATTTTTGTTAAATAATCCCTCCTCCATAGCACAATTTCTTCTCTATCCAGTAGTAAACTATTACGACCCCGTTTTTTCCATTTGAAATTTAAATGCTTCAGTAACGCATGGAAAGTTGATCGTTTGAAATTTGGCAACGTTGTATCTCCATTTACCTCCTGCAATACTTTATCTATAGTAGATAGTAGGTATTTCATTCCTAAAGAAGAATTCATGCACTTTCCTCCTAATCGCATGCTTATCAGCTTCATCCAATGATTTAACAATACTTTTGCGATGTTTACTGGTCATTGGCTCAGAAAAGGTGTGATTTTTTTTTGTGTTGTCTTAACACATTAAACACTGATGCGCGTCACACCCCAACTTTGTGAGAAACCTTCACAACAATTTCTTTGATGGTTGATGCCTCGTTCTCCTCGCGCTCGATCTTATATATATTCAAAATGACCTCTTTCATTTCTGCACTCAGGTGTCTTTTTTTAGAGCGTTTCCTAGGTGGACTACAGGAGTTTACAACTTCATCGGCAGTATCTGTACTACTGGGCATTTTGCGCAAGCAGTTGATAACAATAACAATCAATAACAAGGTATAACAATAACAACGACAAACTCAATAACTTAATAAGATAACAAACGAAAACGTCCAAAGAAATATCAAATTGCAATGATGCACACGACATACGTAACACGTCTGAACCTGAATGTGACTCTGCCTTGATACGACTGCTCTGCCGCTCGGCATAGGCATTTAATTGCGAATTGACCAATGAGGGCTCCTGTTTTACGTCGAGACGGCGGCGTTAGCGTGAAAATCACCCGAACCTTTTGGTTACCACCGGTCTATCTCTTATCTGAATATACTGTAGCTTCTTATAAATACAAAATAAGATATGGGGTCAAAGAAAGATTGCGACGAATAAGGTTATGTATTGTAAAAACAGGAAAGTCTCCAAAGGACAGACGGTGTGCAAATAGACCTCGGAAAACTGACAGAAGAGTGTACACTACTATTCGTGATCATATAAAATCTTTTAAGTGTCTCATTATTCTCGCAGAGATAATCCAAATGTATACTACTTACCAGAAACTTTAAGTTGCAAAAAAATGTATAAAATGTTTTGTGAAGAAATTGCAGATATGCGCGTCACTTATAAAGCTTATCGGCAGGTTTTTACAAGAGATTTTAAGTTGAAGTTTGGTATTCCAAAAAGTGATACCTGTGGCATATGCGACAACTTAATGCAACAAATAAACCTCGAAACAGACAGAAAAAAAGCAAATTTACAGACTGAAAAAAATCTACATTTATGTAAAGCCGAAAAGTTTTATCAGCTAAAGAAGCATTACCGAAATTTAGCTAGACAAAATCCTGACGAATACTGTTGCATATCTTTCGATTTTATACAGAACTTACCAGTTCGCACAAATGATGTTTTTTACGCCATTCAGATGTGGTACTATGTTTTTGGAATACATAATGAGGGAAATGGTAATGCAACAATGTACTGCTATGACGAAACTTTTGCGAAAAAAGGACAAAATGATGTCGCTTCTCTACTTTTTCAGTTTTTAAAAAGCCATGAAGTTACCACAAAAAAATTAATATTGCTCAGCGATGGGTGTGCTGGGCAAAATAAAAATTATGTTCTCATGCGTTTTTTGTATGTGTTAGTTCACTGTTTGCAAATGTTCGAAAGTATTATTCACATATTTCCAGTTAGAGGACATTCTTTTTTATCAAATGGCAGAGATTTTTCTATCATCGAGAAACACAAGAAAACTGCAACCGTTGAAGTACGTTCAGAATGGGACAAGATTATAAAGGAAGCACGAGAAAAACCATCCCCATATGAATTTGTTAACGTAAACTCAAACATGATATTTGATTTATCAAGCAATATTTCTCAATACTTTCTAAAAAACCCAAAACCACCGGTAAAAAACAGCAAGAATGCTTAAGTATGACAGAAATGAACCAGGATAGACAAGACAAATTTATTCTGGAGAGTGGGAACGTAGTTACATACGAAATAACAAATCCTTGCCAAGAGAACTTCGTTTGACGCAAAACCACAATGAATCAGTTGCATTAAAACAATCCAAAATTGAGCATCTATTAAATTTATCAAAGTATATATATTATAAAACCTGAACATATAATGTTTTATAAAAGGTTGTTAAATACTAATAAACAAGATACTGAAGACAATGATGCAGAAATAGACAATGACGACAACAGCAGCGGAAATAGCAACGTAGAATAGAAATATTGTTATACAGTTAGAATACTTTTGAGGAATATGTTTTTTCCTGAAATACTTTAAGAATACTTTTGAAGAATATGTTGTTTTTTCTTAAATACTTAAGTTCCGTTTCAATAAATATATATGGAAAATATTCTTGGTTTACAAGCCTCTCTCTAAAAAATTCCTAAAAAACAACATTTGTCACCACGTTTTTATATTTTTTTTATTCTCAAATCCGTTTTTTTGTTGTATACAGTCAGTGTCAGTCGGTAACGCGTGAGTGAATAGTGGCGTCTGTTTCGTGGCTCAAACGAAATAAAAAATGGCACATGTTTATGGGACCTTTACATATAATAGATGACATTATGCATAAGTTTGTATACACAGACATAATAAAGCATGTCATGTTACCCTATATGGAAGACAATATGTCCTTAAGATTTTGGGGGTGGTGTCACCCCCGCTTAGGGGGCTGCACGTGCTTACGTGATTGTTTGCCAAACTTGTGTCCCCCTCGAAAACAAAATCGACGGGTCTGAGCGTTTTTTCAAAAAGAAAACTGAGCTGCCAGTAAATGCGTCTGTTTCGTTATCCATGCGCCACCCTGTATATTTTCGTACAGTTTTTTCAATTAATTTTTTATTGAAGGGAGTTTAATGAATTTATTTATATGTAAGTGACTATTATGCTATAACGAATTATGTATTCCGGTTGGTATGTTAATAAAACAAGTTAAAAAATAAATACAACACGATATTAATTTGTCTATATACTTTTGTCCATTACTGTATGTCCTGAAAATTCATTGACAAACAAACACAAAATAATATCAAGTTGCCTTTGGAAACAGAGGTCAGAGAGATTGGTGAGAAGAGCAAGAAATCAGGTTGGAATGTCAACACGGAGATGTGCTCGACAATACAGATCTTCTTAGTTACGATGTCGTTGGAGGAATGGTCTTAGATATAGAAAGAGAGTTAAGTACTCTAGATACTCACAAGTTGAGTATTCAGTTGTTATTTATGATAACTAGTTAGTGTTTAAATGAATTTCTTCATTAAAACTTCAAAAAAACGGTAAATATTTTGTCCCAAAACTTTTACGACATACGTTACTCTAGTACAAGAGATAGGGTCTTGCGGTCCGTTCTGGTGATCAACGATGGCTTCATCGTACTTATTACTATGAAGCGTTTACTATATTTGAGTAAAGTTTCATCAAGATATGAATTTTCCCACATAAACGCCTTTTAAACATCGCCTTCCTTTCTCTATCGAGTTGAACAACGCGTTTCGCATGCGACAAATTTTTTGATTGCATTATCCACCGCGGAGAAATCTGAAAAAGACGAAGAATGTGAAGCGGAAAAAATAAATATTATGGAACATTGATTGAATAGAATGTTCTTTCCCAGCTTAGCATACGGTATATTATTCTCCAGGGAGAAAAACTCTCGAGTATTTGCACTTTTATAACGGAATATAAATGCGAATTGTGCCACTTTCTATCAACGTCTTAATCATATTCAATGCACGTGAATTACGACAGCCTGGAGCTGCTAGAGAAATTATTATTGTAATGGTGTATGTCGAGATAATGTCGAACTTGCTGACACACACTTAAAGCTGTCACATATATGATAGCCGTAAGCTACATTCAGAAAAATGTGCAGTATATACAGGGTGTCCCAGAAAAGGAGGCCAACCTCTCGGATACGTAAAGAACATAAAGCAATATTCGTACAACGTCCTATGAAAGAATTTGTGAGACAAAGAACGACAGTTGAGACAAAAGAAACCACCTTAAGTCGCCAGCTTTTAAAATCTTGTATTAAATCCTAATTATTATTTTTTTAATTTGAAATAAGACTCTATTTATATTTAGAAACAAAATATATAATTATAGTAGTATATCTTAAAAAAGAACATTAAACGAAAACATGCTTTTGATTCCTTTTCTGCGAAAATACATAAAAAAGTGCATGGGCTTCATGCAGTTCTAGTATTTCAGACAATTGTTAAAAATATACAGAGTGTCCGCAGAGTTGGGGTTTTCCTTTTCAGAAACAACTACCCTTGAAATAACAAAGGTAATGTGTAGTGAAACGAGGGCGACCAAGTAAAAAAAAATAAAGGAAAAAGTACTCACTTTCCAGTTGACGAGAAGGGCTAAGTACGTCTCTGCCTGAAATCATACCGCTCCAACAGAAAATGAAATCAGCTGATGCGCTACCGAGCAGACGCTGGCGGTGGTGCAGACCACAAACAGATGTAACAAATATGACGGCGTTGCCGCGTTTTCAGTTTTTAGGTAAACGTACTTTATAGGTATTGTTCGAAGTTATCGCCGTTTGATTCAAAAACACAGGTGCGTGCACGACGTAGCCAAACATCGGTGCAGGCTTTGAGAATGGAGTCCCTCCCCCGAATGAAAGCACCAGCTTGTTCAATTCTGAGACGAAGTTCGTCAGCCGTATGCACTTCAGTTTTGTACACTAAGCGTTTCATTTCTCCCCAAAGAAAAAAATCACATGGTGTTAAGTCTGGAGATCGCGGAGGCCACGCCACAGGTCCATTACGTCCGATCCACCTATTCGGAGATAATTCATTCAACAACTCGCGTCTAAAATGGGGCGGTGCACCATCGTGCAGAAACCACATTGATTGTCTTACACTTAATGGCACATCTAACAAGGAAGGCAAAATGTTGCGTAAAAAGTCTAGGTATTGCATCCCGTCCAATCGATTTGGGAGAATAAATGGTGCAATGAGCATACCGTTCACCATGCCAGCCCAAACATTCACCAAAAATGTTTGTTGAAAATGTGTCCGACGGACAGCGTGCGGATTTTCTACTGACCAAACATGAGTGTTGCGAAAGTTATTCACCCCATTACGCGTGAACGTAGATTCGTCTGTCACCAATATGCACTTCAAAAAATCCGGATTATTGTCATGTTGATGCAACAACCACTCACAAAACCGCACTCTTGCTGGAAAATCGTCAGGTTGAAGGGCTTGTACACGTTGGACGTGAAACGGATACAGCCCCTCTTCACGCAGCGTTTGCCACACTTTAGTTTTTGATACTTGCACTTCTATAGCCACGTCTCTAGTGCTTGTTGAGGGATTCTCGTCTACGCGATTACCTCTACACGCGTGACCGTAACCGTCGGTTGAAGGTTGCATACTGACCTGACACACTGACCCCGACCCAGTTCTGTCGTCGGGTTGAGCCAGTGACCTTGTACCACTCGGTGATATCGCGGGTCGCGGCTACAGGACGGTATTCAGATATTTTTGATGTTGCAGAGCCCTTTATCTCGGTTCCCTTAAGACATTGGTGTATATGGTACTAAGAAAAATTGCTTATGTTTTCAAGATCTACACGTCGTCTAAAGGAAAACCCCAACTTTGCAGTCACCAGCACTGTGATTGAGCATGTACCTCAACGTTGAGCTTTTACCTGGACCGTTGTGATGTAATATTAATCTATTTCAGTCACTTTGTTTGACTGCACAGTCAGAATCTTAGGGTTGACATTGAAAAAAGTTTCGACTGAACCCAAATAAGGTCATCGTTGCGACCGAAACGTCGTTCAATAAACGCATTTTAAAAATGCATGGGCACCTGCCTGAGAATCCGATTGAAAATTTGAATATGTAGCATGATTTTGTGCACAATTTTGAGGATTTGTAGAAACGCCGCCCCCTGGAAAAATTTGTTATCCTCCGCTCTTGAAAAAGTTTTGGAGGCAAGTACAAAAGGATATCTCTTGCCGATGATCGCCCCTGAGAAAAATTACTGCGGGCGCCCATGCAAGCATGAGAGATTGATTACCAAAGTGAAAACCACAGGATAAGTTTCAGATGATACATTATTGATGTGAACTTTCGATTACGTTTTGTATCTTTGATATCATTAGTAAATTGACAGCCAAGTTGCATACTTGGCAAATTTGGTTGCTTTATAAGAGGCGTTCTGCCGGTAAAACCGCTGGACCAAATTCTAGCAATATTTCTCATATTCTGAACACGATTTACTTGTACTTAGATATTTTGTTAGTAACGGGTGATTTTTTAAGAGGTATAGGATTTGATTTAAAAAAAAAACACAAAAAAAATTGAAAAAACGGTTAAATCTTTATTTGAGTCGATAGAACGGTCGATATAATTTAATGTTTAAAGATTATTTCATGTAAATGTTGGCCGCGGCTCCGCTTTAGATGGCCCATGCGCAAGGTCCAATTTTGGCATACTCTCTCCAACATATCGGCCGGTATCTCACGAATAAATGCTTCAATATTGGCTTCCAGTGCGTCAATCGTTGCTGGCTTATCCCTGTAGACATTAGCCTTAACATGGCCCCACAAGAAATAGTCCAACGGCGTTAAATCACACGATCTAGGCGGCCAATTGACGGGCCCCAAACGTGAGATAAACTGTTCACCGAACTCGCCTCTCAATAGTGCCATTGTTTCGTGTGCGGTGTGGCTTGTGGCACCGTCTTGTTGAAACCACATGTCAGCCAAGTCCAACTCTTCCATTTTGGGCAAAAAAAAGTTTGTTATCATCGCACGGTAGCGCTCGCCATTCCAAGTTACGTTCTGGCCATTGTCGTCTTTGAAGAAGTACGGCCCGATGATGCCACCGGCCCATAATCCACACCAAACAGTGATTTTTTCGGGATGCATTGGTAGCTTTTGCAATGCTTC